TTTAATATATTAAAACGAAAATTCCAAAACCACAAATATTAATAAAAATATTTTTTAATCATATAAGTTGATAATAGTTTCATTATATATTAGGCGAAGAAAAACAGGAAAAGAAACCCACAGAAATAAGTGTACAGTCATACGCATATACATATATATACACGCGGCAGCAAACACAAGTTAACACACATAAACATACACACATACATACATATACATACAGGAATACAGACATATAAATATATAAATATAAACATATACGCACATATACATATCTATGATGACAAGTACACATACACACATATATACATATAAACATAAATACACACATATATACACACATTTTTACGCAAACATGCACATTATGTATGTTTGTGGATGTATATGTGTGTGTTGACACCTATTATGTATGAGTTTGTTTGTGTGTATATGTAGGTATGGAAACTTTGGTATGTCATTACTGCCACAGTAGTTAGTCTATGTGTGTATATATGTTCATATATGTATTGGTGCATGTATGTATATTGGGGCATATTTTTATATATGTGAGTATGTGTGCATAAAAATGGACTCGTGACGAATCTTTTAAATTGCTTAACGATCTTGTTTGATAAATGGTATATATGTTGTTTCCTTATAAGGAAACATTTGGAATCCATTGACCGAGCAGCATGTGTTACTTTCGTTTGGAATTTATAAAAATCTCTTTATTAAGACAATTTTTGCGGAAAATAGGTTTCTCGCGTCTACCAACTGCCTTAAACTCTTTCCAGTACTAAGCGGGGTTTCCTTCCTAGCCTTTTGTTCGAAGTAGTGTCAAACGTCAACATTTTGATTATGTCATTATTTTTCTTCTAGTTATATCCGCAAGCCATTTTAGTTGCCGCTCCTATTGAAAGTCGTCAAGTGATGTGGATGCTCTTATCTGCTACAGGTCTTTGTGATTCTGTAGCGCCAGTCCACGAGGTTCGCTAAAAACTACAAGCTTCATTCACTGGAAGCCATTTTTAACCCTAGATCCGAGAAATCGGTTATTTACAATTGGCTAGTTTATATGTTTCCGAGCGAGTTTGGTGCCATGCGTGACATCTATATGAAAGGACTCGATATGACAAGGGTATTTAAGATCAAGACTCGAGTTTTTAGATTAATGTTTCGGCTTTTACAATGTTGGACGAAAATAAACCCTAGCACTACCCGGGGGGGGGAGAATTTCCAAGGTCAGGCACTCTTATTTTGAGAACCCCACCCCCGGCCAGAAAAGGAGATGCTGGGACAAATAAACTCGATCTAGCGTGTCTTACAAGACTTTTTTTAAAGAGCGTGTCTTTGCAACCTTTGCGATCGACTGTGATTTGGCACGAGAATTAGATTTTGAGGAACTCGTTCGCATATTTTGCATCAATGAAAGTTCAAAAAATGCACTTTTAAGCTGCTTTGGAACTGATTCTAGTCTTCCTATTTTTTTTTTTTTTTTCAATAAAATACCGATTCGTAATTTTGCTCTCTACATTTTTGTAAAGAAGCCACTCCCTAAACCCCTAAAGGTATTTTCTTGAGGACCCTCAGATTTCGAGGCCGGGTACATTTCTGCCGTCTATCCCCCTCCTCTCGCTGCCACTGTACCTTAGTGTAAGCTTAATAGAACTGACACCACATTTCGCTTCTTTTTTTTTTTTTTTTTGATAATAATTTTCAGTACACCTCTGTTTTTCCATGCTATACTCTTTTCGTCTGCTTTCTGTGTTTTTTTCGGTTTTTTTTTTTTTTACATTTAGATATAATCACCGGAAGTGGTTCGAATTTCTTTGATGAATTCGTGACTATTTTTTCTTCTCATAACAGGCTTATCGCTTTGTACTTAGTCGTATTTCGAAACATATCAGATTCAATCGAGCTTCTGAAAATCACTTCATTTTATTCTGAGGTTCTGTAACTAAGTATTTTCACTCTACCACGCATTTTGAAACTTTCTTTTATGACAAGACAACTTCTTCCCGGAAGTTTCCAACTGTTTGTATTTCAAATTAAAGTGAGTTTCGTAGTACCGGACAATATCAGAGCTTGCTATATTACGTCGTATCACTTATATCATATGGTTAGCAAAGAATAGCTAGCAATTTTTTTTAATGTTCCTTCCGAACGTAAGTGATCATGACACTCCACAGTTTCCGTTTTTATCTGTGAATTCATACGTCTATAGGAAATATAGCGGGATTGTTCTGCCGTTGGCTTTTCCAAGGTTTTTGAATTCAATTTTTTTCTTTCTTTCTCCTAGACTGGTTGCATCCCAAGACGTGAGAGCCCAATCTAACCCGCTATTTTAACCCATAAATAGAGGAAGATAAATTCATGAAACGAACTTGACAGAATTAGAACTTGGCCGGCAGATTCCAATTTCAAATCCGACATTTTTAACTTTTGTTTATTATTATTATTATTATTATTATTATTATTATTATTATTATTATCAATAATAATAATAATAATAATATTTTGGTTTCTGTTTTGATCCTTAAAGATGGAGCACCAAGGACATTTCTTCCCACTCTTTTATTTATTTTTTATGTTTATTACCCTAGGCAGGTGGCATAGAAAGAATCAGCGTTTTATCAATTTATTTTCCAAGTCGAGACAGTGCTCACATGTGGGTCCCTTCCAACAATACTTCAGCTACAATTGCAATTACCACCACTACAAACTCGCGAAGTATTCTTTTTATTTGCTTATTTTTTTTTTTTATCTTAATTTTGTTTCTTTATTTATTTTGTTGAGCGGCGACGGCGCACGAACGATTTCTTGCAGCAGACGGCGAAGACAACTTCTATAAATGAATAAGTTTTAAAAAGCAATGAGATAGATAAAGCGCGGGAGAGAGAGAGAAAAAAAATGTTTTTAACGCACACAGGTGTCTGAAAAAGTTTCTCTTCGACAATTGCCCCTACGATAACAAAGTTGCAGTACGAATAGTAATTTCTTCAATTAGTTGCGTGTTTCAATCTCAAACTAAATTGCCAATTTTATCGGCCATCTTTCTAATGTGTTTATCATTGATTCAAGTCAAGAGCAGCCAACGAAAATATGGCGAACGAATTCAAACAATGCACCCACACAGAGATGAGTCTGTTTGTCTACTTGTAAAATTAATGATCTCCACAAAAGGTCAACCTTTCGGGCCAAGTAAATCTTCTGGACACTGAAAATGTGTAGCTTAGTCTAAAAGAAAAATCAATGATATATATATATATACATATCACTCTATATACACATATATACATACACATAGTTACATTATCCAAATGCACAAACATATATATTTACATGATAGATTAATTCTAGATATCATATGCCTGTATGATATCTACAATTTATCTGTCATGTAAATATATATCCCTGCTTAAACAAAACTTCCGGTATTACAATATGGAACATTTTAAACAAAAAAAAACGAAAAACAAATTGAACGCCAGAAATTTAAAATTTATTTTTTTAAGTTAAACATTTCGATGAATAACTATAACGAAAATCTGTCTATGTTTCTGAAATGAAGTAGTGTAACCATTTACATTGTTTAGACTGTTGTCCTCGTCTTTATTGTCATATTCACGACGTTTCGGACGTAGTACGCTCTGGTCTTCGTCAGTTGGTATATCTGTCCCCAAGCGCACATGGCCCAGTGGATAAAAGCGTTGGTTGAAGTAATCGAGTGACTTGACACAAAGAGTTGTGAGTTCACAATACCTGACCAGAAAAACTTATAGAGTTTAGTTACTAAAGGGAGATAACTGAAACTGACAAAAATGACAGTGCACGTGGAACTAAAACAATCTACCCCGGTGGACAAAATAACGGGTTCGGTTCGAAATTCCAACGTATATCTCCTGAAAAAGGCAGGAGCCGAAACGTCGTGAATATGATAATATAGATGAGGACAATAGACCGAACAATGTAAATAGTGTCAATTATAACCAATGTCCAAATATATGAACAATCATTAAAATTATTATTTATTCTGAAGAAATCTTTTCGAGGGAAGAAATGCGTCAATTTACACCTTCCCTTTTTGTTATTCGATTGCCTATTATTTGTCTAATATTCAGTTGACATATCATATAGTCCTATATACTGAATGGCGACAGTCGGTTTCAAGTTTGAAACACACTGTCACAGTTCGGTATCGACCTAAATTTCGACGTTTCTATTTACATATGCTCTATCCCTGATATTGAGCACTTTTAGCTATTAATATAGCATAGCTTAAAACTATCACACACAAACACACACGCACACGCATATATATATATATATATATATAATAGTGGATAGTTCGTGCTTGAAAAAATAAAAATTATGGTATTAAAAATCAATAGATTTATTTCAGAAATCTTTTAAAATTACCGCAGTGTGAGATGTAGAAAGCACATATTCTTGCTATTACTCAATCCGAATTGAGTACTGCACAAGGACATAAAGCTATAAAGGTAAATATATATACATATATATATATATATATATATATATATATATATATATATATATATATATATATATATATATACTCATATACTTATATACTCACGTAACATGCGACTTTCGTAGACCTAATTTTGAAGCTAATTTGACTACAGTAAATGGATACATATATAGTTTGTTCAACGGCATAGCAAGGGCCAGCAGTACATACGCTAATTTTATATCTAGTGTATGATGAGCCCACCTTAAAATTATTTTCACCATTAAGTTTTCAAAAGATACGATATATATATATATATATATACATATATATATATATATATATATGTTTTGATTTCTTGCTGTTCCTTCTCTCTCTCTCTCCCACTCACTATATATATATATATATATATATATATATTAGATTGATTTAATAATCGAAGCATGTTTTTTACTAATTCATCTATATATTTATATATATATACGCTTTTATATATGTGTGTGAGTGTGCGCGCGTGCGTGCGTGTGTGTTTGTCTTCTTGGTATACCTCCTATAGATAGATAGATAGATAGATAGATAGATAGATAGATAGATAGATAGATAGATGTGGATCACCAAATCAGTACACATATATATGTGTGTGTGTGTGTACCCATTTGGACATCTACATACTTCTTTGAACCCTTTATAAGATAGATAGAGAGAGAGAGAGAGAGAGAGAGAGAGAGAGAGAGAGAAAGAGAGAAATAGATAGATATTAATCATGCATGAGCAACTCGACCGATGGCCAAAAACATCAATCAAACCAGTTCTTGTCCATCTAACGGCCGGCATCCAGCCAAATCATCGATCAGTTTATTTTTCCTTACTAGCGACAACAGATACACATAATAACAACCCTTGTTTTTATTATAACAATTTTGTTGTCTTTCTTGTTTGTACTTTACTTACTTTGTTGGTCATCTGACGTAGGTAGAGAAAAGAGTGAGACGAGAGTTGGTGGAATCGATAGCGCATTTTGTTGCCTGGCCGATTATACCACGTTACACACACGCACACACACACACGCACACACACACACACACACACAAACACTGAGAAGTTTTCAGCAAATGATGAAAACAAAACTGCTTAGGTCAGGATCTTAACAGCAGACACCCAAACCTAAGACCTGGAAAAATATTTATTGATTTCGGAATTAGTTTCTTGACCGTTCATTTACTAATATATAGAATGTATCTTTACAAAATGAAATCCCGTAAATTTGAGAAATATCAAGCAAATTTGCACTGGATATCAAAACCAACTCTGATTAGTGAACCAAAGCCAGTGATTTATTGAATCCCTTAAACAATTATATGAAACAAATATAATACGTAAATTTTAAAGGAGATATGATTCTCGTCAAAGCATCGTATTCCTAAAACTTTAATATATGTTTTCTGATATGAAAATCAAGATGACCGATTACTCCAATTCCGAGAGAAACAGTCTTTAAAGCCCTGAGGAAAGTTAAATATAAATCTCTTCCCACTCCATCTATAAGTAAAATGTTAGCGCAGATTAGGTTCTCTAGCCTCGACAGATTTGAAATCAATTGCTCAAAAGAATGAATTTCAAATCAGTCTAGTCACCATTAACAATTTCTACTGCTACCAAAAACCACAAGACCAAATTTATCGTACCCTACCATCTAATTGTTTCACAATAAATCAAATGTATTCTATGATGCAATATCAGTCCTCCAACATGGCAGTGAAAGCTGAAAAATCTCCTCATAGACGAAGAAAAGACTTGAAACAACAGAATTGTAGTTTACTTAATGGTAATGGTAATAATATTAACCGTTTCCTTATAAGGAAACATTCGGCATTCATTGACCGAACAGCCAGTACTACTGTCGGATGAAATTAAAGAAATCTTTCTCTTAAAACAACCTTTAAGGATAATAGATCTCTAAAGCTGTTATCGCCCTTTCCAGTATTGATTCGTGTTTCCTTACTAATCTTTTTTTTCGAGTAGTGTGGAACACACATATGATTATTATGTCATGTTTTTATCTTCGATTTTCGTGTTATCCATTTTAGCTGTTGATGTTGCTGAAAGACCTCGAGTGATGTAGATTCTGTTATCTGGTACAGTTCCTTGTTTTTGATTCTGTTACGCTAGTCCACAAGGTTCGAAGAAGGATAGACTTCAGCATGACCAACAAGCTTCACTCGCTCAAACCAATTTCTGACCATTGATTTGGGAAAGCGGTTGTATAAAGCTGACAATTTAGGTATTTCTGACCGGATTTAGCGGCACGAGTTTTCAGATTAATGTTTAGTATTTAGGAAATTCGCATCCTGTATTTTTATGATAAATTCAAGGAATGTGCCATCGCTGCTTTTATTCCGATTCCAGATGTTGAGAATACCATGGGCTGAAAATAAAAGCAACGACGAAGTTTTAGGGAAAAGGGAAACAAAAATAAAACACATATGCTCAGAATCAAAAAGAGACAATTGAAATTTCTAGGGCACATGAGGAAAGAAGGCTTAGAGAAGTTGACACACTCAAACAGGGCATAGTGAAGACAAGCAGAAAATCGAATAACCTACCTAACGAGCTTGTGTAAATGATTGCCAGAACAATGATTTCGATTGATAGTAAAAAGACACTTTACGGGTTACATAGGAAAAGTCGTTGTGGAGGGCCATAATCGCTCATGTTCTGAAGAGACACAGTACATAAAAGAAGAATATAATTATTAGATGGATGCAATAGTTTCCGACGAAAAACCGTTACACTATTTACATTATTCGGATTATTGTCCTCATCTTTGTTGCCATATTTATCACAACGTTTCGGCCGTTGTACGCTCCGGCCTTCTTCAAGTGGTTGGAATGTCGAACTGAACCCTTTATTTCGCTCGCTGGGGTAGACTGTTCTAGTTCCACGTGCCATGTCTAACGGATGTCAGTTATCTCCTATTAATTCCCCTTTCCAACTTCTCCACTGCCTTAACTAGGTATTGAACTCACAACTCTGTGGGTCCTAACCAACGCCTTTATCCACTGTGCCATGTGTCCAATTAGACATAAAGAGAGAGTGTTAGAGTCAATCTATGTTGTCTGAGTCGTCCCAAAATGAACCATGAGGAAGAGCGATCAAGTTTTGACTCTACCTCATGTATACGTCGGAGGATGAAATATCAAACGTGATCTTGTATCCAATTCGCTTTCACGTTGATGAAGATAAACTAACCGGTACCCACTACAGTTTCTGGACCTCAACTTTTGGAGACAAATAGAGCAAGGGATGTAAAATAGTTTCCTAAAAAAAGAAATCAGATTTCTTACGTTTATTTTTACCGATTGAATGGGGATGGATAGTAGGGACTCAAAATAAGAAACCAGAGCGCCGAGTTCGAGATCACCCGAACAATTATCATGAAACTATTTATAGAAAAGCCATATTAAAAAAAAATTACGGTGGTGGGAAAGTTACTGAAACCAAGATTCCAGGTCAGGACCGATAATATTGCTGATTCTTTTTTGGATTTTATCAATAATCTCTAAATATATATGCAGGAGCACCGGGCCATATGTAGCAGCAATATTCTAAGCATGAACGAATGGTAGACATAGATATGTAAGATAGATTGTGGAGAGAAAAATTGTCTCGCACGACACAGTAAACCAAATTTCTTAGCAGCCTACCTAGCAATGGATTCAATATAATCTTTCCACTTCATGTCAACCGAAAATGTTGGCCCGAGAAGGCGCAATAAGTCAATCTTTTGGAGGTTAGCATCAGCCATGCCGATGGAAGGCAGAAAGGGATCTCTCAGATGATTAAGAGAGATCAGTTTTGTTTAACAAGCCATTCTTTCCCCAGTTTGTGACATTAGCCGTCCATTTGACCTTCTCGAACTGATCATCCTTAGATAGATACCAAATGGACAGCTGATGTCATCAGGAATGTCGTTAATGGAAATTAAAAAAAAAACAGTAAGGCTGAGAATAAAGTCCACTCGTTATAACATTATATTCTCAAACAAAAAAAATATTAATGTAATATTCACTCGAAAATGGTATAGTTATTCTTACAATCCCTAAAATATATCTTGGCTTTAAATAACCACCAAGGGTTGATAAGCCGTAAAAAAAAAACAAATCAGTCAATCACCTCTTGGCGTGTACATTGTTCTGTCGACTTTGGATATGTCGAATTCAAATATCTTTGAGGTGTTTTAACAAAGGACAGAAAGCGCAACACAGAAATCCGAGCGCGCGTCGGAATAGTGAAAGATACCTTCCAAAAGCTCAGCAAACTATTAAGAAACATGAAAATTTCGTTAGAAACAAAGAAAAGAATACTGACCTATTACGTAATATCAGTCCTCCTATCTGGAAGTTAGTGCTGAAGAAAACTTGAAGCAACAGAAATGTAGTTCTACAGAATGACACAAAGAATGTCATGGACCGAACATGTAAGCAATGATGAAGTTTTAGAGAAAATGGAAACACAAAGGATACTCATACTTAACATCAGGAAGAGGTAGTTGAAATATTTAGGGCACATAATGAGGAAAGAAGGCTTGGAATATTTGATACTCACAGGACAGGTTGAAGGCAAGAAGGACAGAAGAAAATAACGCATAACCTACCTAGCGAGCTTGAGTAAATAGATGGCGAAACAAGCTTTAGGAGAGATGACAAAAAGACAACATTTATTAAGAGCTACAAAAGACAAGAAATTGTGGAGAGCCATTATCACCCACGTCCTTAAAAGACACGACGCATAAAAGAGAAAGATCAAAAGTTGGAAGGAGTCGCTAACGCTAGGCTTCAGTTTTTTTCTTCTGCTTTTGCTTCTATCTGCCGTGTCCATTCAGGACGTGGGGGATTATGGTTCTCTACAATTTGCTACCCTATGTAGCCATCCATTTCCACAAGCCCATTAGGTAGGTTACAGGCTGTTTCCCCCCCTGTCACTTTTGTTTTGAATATGCCCTGTGAGTGTCAAATTTTTCAAGCTTTCTTTCTTCATTATATGTCCAAGGAAATTGTCTCTTTCTGATTTTATGGATTAGCCTCCTTTTCGTTTCCGTTTTCCTTAAAACTTATCGTTACTCATATACTCCGTCTATGTTTTTCTCAACATCCTGCTGTCGAACCACATCTCTGTTACCACGAGTCTCTCCTTCAGCTGTAAGGAAATTGACCGACATTTCCTGCAACAGAGGAAGACTGATATTGCATCTATCCGCATATGGGCGGTTTGACCTCAAGTTCTGGATTTTTCATATATCTTTCCCAAATAAATCAAGTTCTTTTTTTCTAGCAGTTTAAATAGATCTTTGTGTCGTATATGATCAAATACTTTTGCATAGGCTATGAAATACAGATATACATCTTTCTGCATATGAATTGCAAGTATATTGCGACTTGAGTTTAACAATGGTATGTAGATTAACTTTTATTCTATATTCGATTCAGTGCTTGTTTGTTGGCGAGGATGTGTTCATAGCCTCTTAAATAGTTTGGCTTTGCACCAGCAGAGCACAATAGAGATCCTATACAATAGATCTTTACAAGTGTTGAGATGTCGTTAAATTAATCTAATATAAACGAAACAGGAAGATTTCGTTAAAAACAAAGAGTACTGAACTATTACGTAATGTTATTCCTTCTATATGGCAGCGAATGTTGGAAAATTGTCTCATAGATGAAGAAGAACCTTGAAGCAACAGAAACGTGATTCTACAGAAGAATACTGAGAATGCGATGGACCGAATATATGAGCAACAACAAATGTTTAGTAAAAATGGAAACAAAAAAACACTT